AAAAAAAAAAAAAAAAAAACCAAAACCAAAAACAAAACAATGAAAGGCAAGTGCCTGGGGCAGTGAAAAAAATCCAAAAGCCACATAACTGGGGTGGGAAGGTAACAATGTTTTTTTAAAAAGTATCTGGGCCAGGCGTGGTGGCTCGCACCTGTAGTCCCAGCACTTTGGGAGGCCGAGGGGGGCAGATTATGAGATCAAGAGATTGAGACCATCCTGGCCAACATGGTGAAACCCCATCTCTATTAAAAAATACAAAAATTAGCTGGGTGTGGAGGCATGCACCTGTAGCCCCAGCTACTTGGGAGGCTGAGGCAGGAGAACTGCTTGACTCCGGGAGGCAGAGGTTGCAGTGAGCTGAGATTGCACCACTGCACTCCAGCCTGGTGCCTGGCAACAGAGCGAGACTCTGTCACAAAAAAAGAAAAAGAAAGGAAAAGTATCTATAAGTTTCCCTGACTAGTGACTCCTTTTCCAACTGTTGGTCACCAGTAGTTTCTGCATTTAAATCAATAAAAACACTTCAGGTTGGTAAAGTCTTGCCAACGTATTCTCAAACACTGGTTCTTCCTTGTCTTTCCTGAGTCTCAAAAACGAAAAGCAAAACCAGCAAATCATTGTAGGGGTAAGGCTGCGTCTTAAAATAGAAGTCTACAGGGTATTACATTTAAGCTTCAAAACAGTACTTACCAAGCCCTCCAGAAATAATGAGAGAGAAGAAATGAAAAAAAAGAGAAAACAACAAATTAACTTTGCGTTTAAGTATTTAAAAGGCAATCCACTTGCTTCGACTTTGTTCAACATGAAAGCAAGCCTTTTCTCAGGACAGTCCCTCTGTAATCCTTTCAAAGCGCTGCTGCATTTTGTTAGAAACCTGTCCCCCTTCCCCATTTGGGGTGAAGGCCTAGTTTTCCTTTAAGAGGTTTCCTGATTTCCCCAGACATAACTAATTATTTCCTCTAGAGTTTGTACACACTTCTATTCTAGCTCTTATGACGTTATTTAGGATTCTGTCTCTTCTAGTCTATGAAC